TTTTATTTCTCGCTGCAATTTTGTAGTCCAAGCTAAAGGATGCAGAACTTACGAGAGGGTAAGTTAAAATGTTCGGTTGTTGGATGTAACCCACACGCTTCATTACACCGTCTAATGTAGATGAACTGCCGTGCTTGTGTTGTGACAGGGCGCATGTTTAACTGAAAGAACGAGCAGAGAGAGAGAGAGAGAGAGAGACCCGGTCGCGCGCGCGCACTCTCTTTCTTCGGAGCCAGGCGAAAGTGTAAACAAGACTTCACCGTCTCCAAACTAGGCGCTGTCTTGCTCTCTCTCCCTCGCACATATTAATCAAAATAAATCAACACGGTGGTAAAAGGTCGGAAGACCAAAGTTTCATGTGTAAATAATACAGTAACACACCATTGCAATACATCCATATGAAGACGTTGTACTGCAGGTTCGTCGTCTTCATTTTCATCTCGCTCCGGCTCCGACTCTGGCTAGAACATGTAAGGCTGGCTGGACAAGTCTTCCGTTGTTGACATTTTGTTAATAACGTGTGAATAAAACGTTTCTGTGCCGCTAGATAATCGTATCTCTGCTATCAAACTACAAAAATGGCCGAACGGGGTGGAGTTGAACCGAGTGTCACCCTGTCTATGGTGTCACCGGGGGCGGGGTATGAAGTGTCTCAATTGTATTTAAAGAGACCGCACCAAAACGAATTGCTCTCAGATGCACATCAGAAAAGGGGTAGAAAAGGGTAGAGTTCTCAACGGGCCTGAAAATTACAACCCGACCCGACCCGGCCCGTGGCTTTTAAAGCCCGGACCCGATGTAACCCGACACATCAACATGAATTATCTGCCCGAACCCGACCCGCGGCCCGACGCCACCCTTTTGATCGGTGAGTGATGTATGTAGAATGACTGCTGCGCTTGACGCAGAGAGAGAGAGAGCCCCGGCCGCGCGCGCGCGCGCACTCTCACGTCTCACACATTCCGCCCATCCAGCTGACATAAACCACATTTCAATAAACGAAAAAAAACTATCCAGTGATTAAATGTTTTCTGTATTGACGCAAATCTTGTGCGATGTCCTAAACTGCCGAGATAATCACACGTGTCGCGCCGCCCCTGAGCAACGGTGATTTCACCTGCAGCAAGTTTACTTTTCACCAACTCCATCTTCTTCTCCGGGCTAAAGGCGTGCACGCAGCGGCGTCAGGTCTGCCCTCGCGTCGCGATGCACGTTGCACGCAGCGGAAAGACTTTCTTTACAGTGAACAGCAGCGATGAATAATAAATGTTTTTTTTTCTTTCACTGTACAATTCAAAAGATTAAGCCCGAGGTCCGACCCGACCCGAGTCATTTGCAAATATTTTCGACCCGAACCCGCGGGTTCCGTCGGGTTTGTCGGCCCGACCCGACCCGACCCGTTGAGAACTCTAGAAAAGGGGCCTGTGGAGCTATAATAATGAGGAATTCAGACCCAAGCATTGCAGTTCCGCTTTATATAGACTACAAATGTATGATTTATATGTAAAAAGGAACGATTTAAAAGCATGATATGTACCCTTTAAGACAAAACACTTCTGTAGGGTCAGTGAGTAGATTAAGTAAATTGTGTGAACAGCATAATTAAAAACCAAGACATAATCAAACACTGTGGCGGTTCTGTGTACTGTTTGTGTGTATCATAATTACATTAATGGCATTTGGGTCTTACAAAGCCATTCAGTTTGGTTTTTGTTTGAGATGGAGTTTCAGTGGGCTGACATTTTGCAGTTTTTCCCTGGCTCTTGGTTGCCCTCTGTTGGATAAAAGATATAAAATCATTTATGTCAATCACAGAATATTACTTATTAAATGTGTTTATTAAGGCAAGAATCAGTATAAGTATTGCTCAAACTATTTGACCTAGCCCCTATAACCCTAAGTATTATAATTTGGCACATAACTTTTCCTTACCGCTGGTGCTGCAGACATGACTGATACCTGCTGAAATCATGCTGCTTGTGCGATCAGAAAGATGATTTTTTTCCTGGTGAATGATAAAAAAATTCCATAGTCTTATCACACTTAGAATATCACAGGCCTGAAATACTTTTGATTTGGGTCAGTTAGCAACACCCAGAACTGCCTAGTAACCATACAGGAGCGACCACGTAACAACATGCATTAAAAAAGCCACTCAGAACACCTTAATGTCTTGAAAGCAATGTGGCTCGTTTTGCATTGCTCACAATAATTCCAAAAAACTAAACAAAAATCAATAAGAGTAGCCCACTGTTTAATAGATTGTTATTTTTTCACTTCTGACCCCTGTTTCCCTCAGGCCATACGATTCCTGCATTCCTGTCTGCCACTGCTGTCTGTCTTCCTATCTCACACACACACACACTCTCGTGCAGCCTCATCTTGTTCCCAGAAGGGAATGTGTGAGGACTCTAGGGAGTGTGCCCAGAGCCACTTAGCCCACACTTGACCGTCTGGTATCTCTCTCTCACACACACATACAGCAGTCTCTCTTTCTCCTCTGTTGTTATTCTTTTGTGAACCATTCTTCTCCAGTGTTATTCCTCCTCCTATCGTTTCACTGCTTGACTGCGCAAGAAAGTGAGATAAAGTAAATAACAGACTATTAAACGGATCTTTAAAGGGATAGTTCACCCCAAAATATACATTCTGTCATCATTTACTCACCATTTAGTTGTTCTAAACCTGTATGAGTTTCTTTCTTTTGTTGTACACAAAAGAAGATCTTTTGAAGAATGTGGCTATAACCAAACCATTTCTGGTCCCTATTGACTTACATAGTACGAAAAAAAGAGAACCCCCTAAAATATAAAAGCAGCTATATAATTTCATATTCGTTTATACCATGAGAGACAGTTTACACCTGGTCACTTTATGTGTTTTTACTGATAGGCCATTTGGCCACATAAATGTCTCCGCTAAACGAATATAAATCCGATTTTCAATTCCCATGCTATATCCAAATTTAACGGAGTTCACATCAACAAAAGCAACAGATATGAGCTGCGTGTTATTTATCATCAGCTAATTTCAAGATCAAAGACTGCATAAGAGAGAGAGCGGCATAAGCACTAAGATCATTTAGTCTCACTACTTATAATAAAGATGATTGTGTGTTGTTGAGCGTCTGCGACTTACTTTCCGGTTCATTTGCGGTAGTTTGCGCGTTGGCTTGCTGAAGAGATATTCCACTACTCATCTTTGGCGATGCGTGTTCAGTGGCGCTGTCATATCTGACTATAACATGTCATATAGCCTAAAACACACTCTCACACATTTATTTTTTAACATTGTGGGACGAGTCAAATTTACATGTGCGGTTTCAACAACCAGTAATGTAATGTAATGTAATGCGTCTCAGAACACACCCTGAAGTGATCAGATTTAAACCCGTGTCGAAAGCATTTCAGAGGGCATTTACACCGGATCTTTCCATGATCAGATATCTATCCAATCTGAGCATAAAGTGACCAAGAGCCTGATGTATAAACGTTGCGTACGCACACAAAAAGGCATTGAAATGTGCGTACGCAATTTTCCACGCACATATCGGGATTTATAAAAAAATTAACTAGGCGTAGCGTAAATATGTTCGCACCGTACGGACACTCTACACTGTTTTACCTCTGATATACACATTTAGATTAAATATGCTACTCTCATTAATGGAGTTAAGCACTGAAATTTCGTGAAATCATTATTCAGAAATTACAAAAAAAAATTATATAAATTTAAATATAAATGTTTGTAGTGGATGCGCTGCTTTTGAGCACTTTTCCTGTGGAATGCTGTGTTTTAATGTTTACCTACAGCAAAGATTGCTTGGCGCATGATAATTATGTTTTAATTTGTGTTCTAAATAGCAGATGTTCTGACTGGGCTTTATAAAGGGAAATTTGCACAGGTTCTGGTGTACTCATGGGTTTATAAATCTGAAAACCTTTGTGCATGTACACGCAAAATCTGGCTTTTGTGCATACAAACACTTTTAGGGCGAAATCTACAGAAAGTTTTATACATGAGGCCCTAGGTGTAAACAGGGTCATAGTAAGTGTAGTATTGTAAAGATAACCTTATTTTGTCATGCTGAAACTGAGGTCAATTTTCTTTCTTATTGTGACATATGGGTTATCGTAAAAAAAAAAATACCAGTGTGATGTTTGTTGTTTTCACCGCAAGGTCTAGTAGTTATGACATTTTGATTACGTAAACATGACTATTATGTCAAACAAACAAAACATGTTTAAAAATAAAATATATGGAACTATGGATCACTGGTTTACAATAAGATCTATAATATACATTTAGAAAATAGATGGGAATTTTCATTTAATGCTGACTTTAAATAATTGCCATTTGGACAGTAGTCAAAATAAATAAATAAAATATCAACTGAAAATCTAAATTTATTTGTATAGCATGTTTTAAAAATATTAAAAATATTGCTTCAAATAAATTGAAAACCTCTGCTTTAAAGGCAACATAAAATAATGCTTACAATGCATTTAACTTCTAAAATGTGACATGATATGTAAGATGGAACTTACCTTATAGTATCAGAAAGTTATTACATTTGGATTTTTTTGTATTACTATAATAATGTAGATATTTTTCTAAAGTATTTCTGTAGAACATGTAAAAACAACAGAAATTTAACAAAGTGCTTTTCAGGTAAAAATAAACATCGGTGGGAATTTCTCCCAGCACTTGAACGGATTGTGTCATTGGGAACAGGCAGCTGGACGGGTTGCTTCTACAGCTGCGAGTGTGTGTGTGTGTGTGTATGATCTATGGCGCCTTGAAGGTAAACGCACATGGTCATTTTCTCACATGTTCATGGTTGAGGAGGGGGGCGGGGGTCTGAAGACTGTACATACTCCCGCTGTTTGGAGGAGAGGAGGGGAGGGCGTACAGTGAGGAGGTGAAGTGTAGAGAAAGAGAAGCATACAGCTGAAGCCTGCGGTGGAGAGGAGCGGCTCTGGAACGGGCTCCTCTAGAAGACTGATAGAATAAATCACGCTGAATGTTCAACGGGAAACTCCGATATGGTTTTTGGATCTTACCCATGACCACAGCTGCCTGCCGATGCCTAGAGGTACCAGAAACCAACTGCATCTTCAATTTACTCTGAAGCCCAAATGGCTCATTTTTTAACTTTATGATATGCATTATGTTTTTACTATTCTGTCATGCTTAAAAAAGTTAGTTTTTTCTTTTTGCAAGTGCACAGAGGAAATGTTATTGCTCAAATCATGCTCTTTTATGTCAATTATGTTTTATTTAAGCATCGACTTTGTCTCTGATGCTGCTTATTCTAAAATCACTTGGGTTATTTTACCAGGAGCAAAATCTGATACTTAAACAAAAGTATCCATTTGCTCACCATTATGGCTGCCTAGAAGAAATAACTGGGATATTTAAGGATTTCCTTTGTGATTTTTCTGTCTTATGACTGAGTTTGAATATGGAGGACATTGTCCATACTAATGGAACTTCGGAGTCATGTTTAGTTAAACAAGAAACATCCTTATGATCCCAGTGGATGGATGTCAAATCACTTTAGCATGTGTGGGAAAATGGCATTGGTCCATAAGTATTTGTGTGTGTTAACTGAATGCTCTGATGAGCAATACAGGAACTGTCTGGAGAAACCCCATGGGAGAGGTGTGTGTGTGTGTGTGTGTGTGTGTGTGTGTGTGTGTGTGTGTGTGTGTGTGTGTGTGTGTGTGTGTGTGTGTGTGTGTGTGTGTGTGTGTTAGAAATAGCTGAGATGAAGAGTAAAAAGAGACTGCATGTTTGTGGGAGAGTTTGCATTACAAAGCTCAGAAAGGATCATAGTCTTACTTCCTTGGTGGTCTGAGAGTCAAGTACACAGAGTTTAACACACACTCATAGACAGCACATCTAGCTGCCCGTTGACACAATTGATAGTTTCCGAATCCGAACAGACTTAACTTTTGCATTTTCATCATCCTGAATGTTTAATTCAGGAATACATCACATCATGGAAGTAAAATGTGTTGCAATTCATGTTGACTGTAAATTAAATGGCATTAGAGCTTCTTTTTTACCTCTGTCTAGCCTATTCACCAGGTACATTTTTTTTAAATCTGTGTTTAGTGATTATGATTGAACATTTGTACTATGAATCCATTAAGTTTTTGTTAGTCTTGAAAGTGTTTTTCCATAGGCAGCATTGACTGATGTCTGTACTGTAGAGGTATTGTATGGGCTTCTCAGATCTCATAGCCTAATGGGAATACTGTCAGACATTTATGATTCAGATACAGCTTTGAATGTGCTGTAGCACTCTCATTCATGATAGCATAACAGCTGAACAGTATCACAAAGATTGAGATTACACACAGTCACACACATACTCTGCATGGTCTTAATAGTGTGTTGAGAATGTATGTTACAAGAGATTTCATTGGTTGGAGCAATGGGTTTGAATACTGCTTGCAACATTTCACTTGTTCATCATTCAATTTCACATTTTCATCATATTTTTTTATTTTATATATTTGTTCACTTAAATCATTCATTACTTTGAAAAAGTATCTAATGTTTTCTTAAATAAGAAATGCTTCCTTTTTTACTATTTGAAAAAAAAGCACATTTACAAAAAGTTTGATAACAATACCTAATTTAGCGTCCATATTAACACACAGTAACATTCTGTTTATTATAAGCATGTTATATATCTTATATATACACTACCGTTCAAAAGTTTGGGGTCAGTGAGAATTTTATTTTTATTTTTTGGAGGAAAGAAATCAATACTTTTATTTATCAAGGACAGTAAAGACATTTATAATGTTACAAAAGATTCTATTTCAAACAAATGCTGTTCTTTTGAACTTCCTATTCATCAAAGAATCCCAAAAAAAAAACTACGACTGACAGACCAACAACTGTTTCAACATTGATAATAATAAATGTTTCTTGAGCATCAAATCCTCATATTATACTGATTTGTGAAGGACCATTTGACACTGAAGACACTGACACTGGTGATGCTGAAAATTCAGCTTTGATCACAGGAAAAAATTACACTTTACTATATATTCACACAGAAAACAGCTGATTTACACTGGAATAATATTTAATACTATAACTGATTTTTGTTGTATTTTTAATCAAATAAGCGCAGCCATGGTTAGCAGAAGAGAATTCTTTTAAAAGTATTTAAAATCGTACCGACCCCAAACTTTTGAACGGTAGTGTGTATATATATATAGCTTAAAGGATTAGTTCACTTCAAAATGAAAATTCTGTTATCATTTACTCACCCTCAAGTTGTTTCAAACCTGTATGAATTTTGCTTTCTTCCGCTGAACACAAAATAAGATATTTTGAAGAATGTCGGTAACCAAACAGTTGATGGACCCCTTTGTGTTTAGCAGAAGAAAGAAAAATTCATACAGGTTTGAAACAACTTGAGGGTGAGTAAATTATGAGAGAATTTTCATTTTAAAGTGAACTAATCCTTTAAGCTTTTTCAAGTCGAGTGGATTCTGATTGGCTGTGGCTTGGTCAATATTTTTATTGTTCATCAGCTGAAAAATGTCATTCTGAAAGTGATTCAAATTATATTTGTGCTAATGTTTTGAGAACATTATTAAAGACCAGATAACCTTTGAACAAATTCTTAACTTGGTTCTTAACTTTGAGAGAACCTTGCCAGAATGTTAGCCAATTTACCTGGGAAAGCCGGAATAAAACCATAACTAAAGGAGTAAGTGTGGGAAGAAAAAACCCCCCAGAAAGAATGCAAAGAGCTGAGAGAGTCATTTGTGGGCCGAGGTGACTTTTAAGGACACAGGACCTGTGTTCTTATATAATCAGAGATCTTGCCTGCTCAATCAAAACAAGAATGCCTTTGATTGTGCCCTGCGGCCTGTGGCATCCAGGCTCTGCGTGGCATCCGTGCCTGCTGCTCTCTCTCATGGCGCGCTGCCTGTTGTCACGTCGAGGTGACCAGGAATGCCTGGGTCAATAGGGGCTGCGTGTCCTGGCTGCTGGGATTAGATGCCATAGCAGCGTAACATGCAGAGGTGATTGCTGTGTGTTTGTTTCTGTGACATTTTTTTTTAGCAGAACCTCTCTATGGTTTATTATGTTGAGTTGTGTGACTTTCGCTGACTCATGTTCTGTATGCTGCTTTGCTTTAGATTTATTGTTGTGGGCACCTTTTGTGTTGGTTCGGTCCTTTGGTTCATGGCGGGGGATATTAGATATTAACGGTATGTGTTAATTAAACTCTTGACTTCACAGCAGTTCTTTATTCCCACGCCGTGGACTCAGATCTACCCAAATTCCCCTCTGAGAGTCTCTTTAAAGTTCCGCAAAACAAGCCCAGTGGTTGGGCTCCGTTTGAGGGCTTCATTAGAAGTTGGTGTTACTACTGATCTGGGTTTTTTTGTTATATTGAAGGTAAGCAGGAAGTTGGGATTAACTATTTGTAAATCATTATAAAAGAGCACTTTTAGGGGTGTAACGTTATATCGATATTGCAATATTAAAATGCAACGATATCAGTGATGGGAACGACATGTACCACAGTATAGAGGTAGTTTTATCCAAGACTCAGATAAGGTATAGTTCACCCAAATATGAAAATTCTGTCGTCATGTAATCACCCTCATGTTGTTTCAAATTTGATTTATTTCCATCTTCCAAACATAATTTAAGATATTTTTTCTAAAACCTGAGAGATTTCTGGATTTCTGAAATCCCCTAAAATCTCTCTCCCATTCCACTCAAAGTGACAACACACCCCTCATTTAAATCGCCATTTCGCATGTTTATTTTTTGTAGTATGATGATTCAAAGTGTTTTAGATGGTTTCTTCTTATGTAAGTGAATTAATAGAAGGAGAGACAGGACATAGTGAGCAACGCAAGAGTCTATGCGTGCAGCTTGTGTGTGTAAGAGATCCAACGAATACCTGCATTGAAAGCGCGAAGGTACTGCGTGAGAAAAAAATGAACGTTTACTGAGTAATATAATGTATTGAATATAATGTATAATAATCCAATGGGGAAATATTTGTGGGTCCTGAAAATGCCAAATGTCTGATTTTACCAGTAAAAAAGGCATACATTATTTTAAATATATGTAGCCAGTGACCGAGTGCAAGCAAACTCTTTGTTTTGGCTTAAAGTATTGCAATGGTATCATATAGTGAGTTCAGTATCGTGAATTGTATCGAATCATGACACGAGTGAATTGTTACACCCCTACTTTTTATGCATTTCATATAATGTTTAAACATAAAATGGTTTGCAACCCATTTTACTTCTATAATTGGACATACAAGATTTAAAAGAAGTCTCTTATGCTCACCAATGCTGCATTTATTTGATTAAATATATAGTAAAATTGGGAAAAATGATTACAATTTAAAATAACTTTAAATATGTTAGAAATGTAAATTATTCCTGTTATGGCAAAGCTGAATTTTTAGCATCATTACTTCTGTCTTCAGTGTCACATGATCCTTCAGAAATCAATGTAATATGCTCATTTGGTGCTCAAGAAACATTTCTTATCTTGCCATTATTATCAATGTTGGAAACAGTTGTGCTGTGTAATAGTTTGTGGAAACCATGATACATTTTTTCCCAAATTATTTTATGAATATAAAGTTCAGCATAACATTTATTCTTATTGAATTTTAAAACAATGTAAAAGTCTTTACTGTCACTTTTGATCAATGTAATGTGTCTTTGCTAATAAAAGTATTAATTTCTTTTGAAAAACTAGCTTTAACTAACCCCAAATGTTTAAACAGTATTGTGTTTCCATGCAAAACAGTTTTTTTAGCAAGACAAAATTTTGGATAAGTGTTGATCAATCCATCAGGAATTATTTAATTGTGGAAAAGTGGGCATTATCATGTAGTTTGAGGGGAGGGGTTGAAAAATATGAAGGATTGCAGATGTCAGCTGAAAAGAAAAGTATTTTTTAGAGATGGAAAAGTTCGATTTTAATGTATGATTAAAAAAAATCCATTTGTTTGTTTAATTTTCTAAATGCAGGGACATGCTTAAGAAATTAAATCAGGTAAATTATGACTTCATGTTGACTTGA